GATAGCCAACGGCCTCACGTTCAGTCTGGTGAGTAGCGGGACTTTCCACCGGTGACATTAGGCTTCGGCTAGCAATACGAGATCACACGATTATCCTGAGTTGAGATAGCAGCCTATTCAACCGGGACTGGCATCCACAAGGAGTATTTGTGTCTTTCGCTGCGATCAAAATAGCCATTACCTCCTGTCTCATGATTAAAGTCCTCAGTTGGTATCGGAACGACAATTGTTGGCAGCCTTTACCGCATATCCAGGCTTGATCTTTACGTATGTCAAACATGCGGAGCGGCTCGCGGCGACTGTCAGCAAGATTAGGAATGAAACGCGACATACTAGTAATCCCATACCATGAACGAGAGTGTCCGCTACAATCTGCAGCTGACTTCTGCGCTGGACTCGATCATTGTTGCTACCTTCTTTTGGGGATCTGCCGTCATCTCGGCATGCGAATATGGAAACGAAGAATTCCATCTCTGGTTTTCGCCAACCTGACATCTTATTCCTATTTAATGTGGATTGTTCGATTTCAGGTTATCCAGTAACAGCTTTGAGAATCATATTTGCTCTTTCTTCAGTAAATTTCATGCGAATTGATATGTGTGACGCCTGGCGCACTCCCTGTCCCAGTACCCTCGAGATATGCCGTTCTGGAAAATCTCACTGTCGACGCTAATACCGAAGTTTAAACGTTTATACTGCCGGAGACCCAACGTGAGTGCTGAACGTTGCTCAGATGGCGTGAATCGCGGGTGGAGTTTTCCAGCTGATGGTACCCTGATTTAGCGTCGCAGGCTTCCGAGAATTATCCTGGAACCGCTTTCGTCAAGCGGATGATTTCTGTGATCGTTGGTGTGATATGGTTTGTGCTCGTTTCACGTGATAGAATGGCTTTGTTCACCACCTCATATCCACACACAACCATGATAGTCCTCAGGTAGCCTTGGGAACACACACAACAGGACGATACCCAGAGTGTTTTGGGACCAGATAATCGTGCCTCAATGATATCACTACTCTTCTCCAACCAGTTCCACTTCCTGAGCCTATCTTCTTCCTCAGGAGAGTATGTCCCTCGCTATGAGGCTGTGCACAGGCATAGCAGTTACTGATCCACATTGTAACCTAACTGATAGTTTTTCAGCTTTTCCCACACCTACTGAACAGATTCATTCATATTCCACGAGAAGCGAACTTGAAGTGAACTTGAGGTCGTCTGAGCGCTGATGTCACGCGTGGGTCACCGATTCATCGTGGAGAATGCCAAGTGCTCGGCAGTCTGCCCGACTCAGCAAATGCTGTTTGAAATCGCCATCGACCACGTAGATGTCGCTTGGCCTGTTCGTTCCCCAACGACATTCGACTTTTGAACTCTTCTGTCATGGGCAAAGTGTTCATACGACATATATGGGGCAGCAGTTTGACTCACTAGGGTTCAGACATGCTCTTGTCAAAAACCTGACAAAGTTTTTTCACTAATGATATTCCTGCGGACATTCACTAGAATCTATCACCATGGTGATCTTCTGACTAGTCTATCCCAGCGTGATCTCGGGTGTGCGGCGGACGTCCATCATTTTTCTTTTAGCGAGTAGATTTCGGTCATCTGAGCTATGTTTCTTGTATGTGCGACACTTTCTTTAGTGGGGAATTTTCCGAAGCTCCTCAACTTGGCTTGGGTATGGCTTGAATTTGATTGTCTTGGGAGTGGCACACCTTTCGCAACAAGGTCCGATTTTACCACGAACTGAACAGGTTTAGTCGCCGGCGGACATGGTTGATGAATGGGATATTCGCTCCGCAGAAACCAGCATATGTCTCGCCGACTGTGTCTTTCTTGGCGGAGTTTTGCAGCGGAGTTCTCGGTGCGCGATTCTGGAGTGTTGACTGTTGGTGGCTTTACGTACGATAACTTCCCTTAGCGCACGAATTATCCGACTCTGCATCGAAAGTTCATGGCGCCTGGCTTCTTCTAACAACACGCCAGCGAGCGGCAGTTTGTCACGCCGAGGATTTGTTTTCTTGCCTCTTATACTGAACGTGACGCCGACGTGGTACCACAGACAAGCTTGAAGTCGGACCTCCTTACCTTGTCATGGTAAGTCACAAGTTTGCTCTGTAGTTAGGCCCGTGTGGAACGCTCGAATTGTCTCCTCTGGCACATGTTCAAATCTTCCGAAACTCCTGTTCACTGTTTGTCAGTGTTTTTACGCGGCTCCATGTACGTTGTTCAGGCGCGTTTACGGCCTGCTTGTACAACATCAATCTGCCTCATTGCCGCAATCAATTCAACGTATTCAAACGTATCTGTGTACATGTTCCCTGCGCATAGTCAGTAGGCAGAGCCTTCATTCACCCTTTATCAGTTCAACATTCATCCCTGTCATCAGGTTCTCGAAACCCCTCAGCCATTTCCTCCAGCGTAGGGCCTGGGTTGACGGATCTCCATACAGTTCAAACGCAACATACGTGGGTAGACTTTGAGCCATGATTCAGAGATTTTTTCCTAAAAGTTTTTTTTTTCCCCTAAAAGTTCCTCAATAATTTGAATAAATACCGAGTCAGAGTCTATGCAATGACGGAGCCGTGATCACGAGAAATCCAGATCTATGAGCAGAATATCGCCGCAGAACTTTCGATTATAACTCCTTTATCTTCAGCGTGATCTTCTTGAATTATTGTCCAGAGCAGACTACGGCTCTTCATAGAACAAATATATCCACTTTTCTCGTCGCCATTGTAATGTTTGCATGTTTTCTATGGGTTTCTTGGAGTGATAGAGAACACGACTGCTTTAGATTCATGCTGTTTTATTGACTGTTTTAAACCTGGTTATCAGTCTTGCTACTAATCTCTAATATAGACCGCATGGGGCAGCACCTGACGGCTGTGGTTATTTATAGTTCAGGGCATGGTTCACTATATTACATATACAAACTACTTATACTACAATTTTTTTTAAATAATGTTTTATTTAGTTATCATACTCATAATATAATATTTTAGATACTTTATATACTTATAGTCAAACATCAGCTTTAGCTACATTCCTTCTGTTTTATCAATTTTCAAATTGACCTTTAAAATGATCAGGAATTTGGCTTAGCTTTCGAAACATAGCCTGAAAATTGCAGGAAATGCCCATTTCAGAGCTCTACTTTTCAAAATTTCTGGGGGGGGGTACTTCCCAGACCCCGCATCGGCCTACATATTTCTGCAGTTGGCAGCTTTTTTGGCTCTTCCCGAGGCCACGAAATTAGTCTTTAATTAACTCCTGCTCTATATGTATGTGCTGTATATATATATATATGTGGTGTGTGTGTGTATGTTATATATCATTGTAGTATTTATATATATGTATATAGTAATTTCAGGCAATATAGGAGCATC